TACAAGCAAACATGCATGATTTCAATGCTAAAGGCAGCAACATCTCCTCCACCTCCACCCTTAAACAATGTCATTAATATTATTTTTTCATTTAAATACATTTATATGTATTAGTAACAATATTAATAATAACAAGTTCAAAAAAAAGTATTCTTATTTATATTTTTAATAATAATAATAATAATAATAATAATAATAATAATAATAATAATAATGATGATGATGATGATGATGATGATGATGATGATGATGATGATGATAATAATAATAATAATAATAATAATAACAATAATAATAATTAAGGTTTTGTTTATAGAAAAGTCCTAATATTTTTGTTTACAGAAAAGTCCTAATATTTTTTGTTTACTGAAAAATCCCAATATTTTGGATTAGTTTACGAAATAGTCCCAAATTAGTTTGGTACCGGTTTCAACCGGTCAAAAAGGGTCAAACTGCAAATTTTTGCCGGTTTTCAGGACTTTTTCGTTCAAAAAAAAAATCTTGGGACTAAAGTGTAACTTTTCCGTAAATATTGGGACTTTTCTGAAGATTTCCCCCTTATTTAAATGTTCGAATCATTTTTGAACGATTGCTACTATACTAGCTTCATAGATTACATGACTTTCCTTTAACATGTTAGAATGCTCCACATTTAAATAATTCAGAACTATCTCATGAATCGTAGTATAAACAATTTCAATTATAATACCATAGACTAAACATTTTGACAAGAGTTATCTTTTGATCCTATAAATGTATCAAGGGCTTGGCATTCACGATCAAATTATCTTCTCCATGTTTTAGTCTTCTTACTTCATTTTAGTGACTGCACATTCTTGCAAATGTCAACACTAATCCTTAGCAACACGCTTAAGGTTTAGAAGTAATGTTTTGATGACATTATAAATCCATATATTTGATTGAATACCAAACATTGAAGAACAAGTTATCTTTTGATCCAATGGAAAGTAGCACGGGCTCGTGATCCATGATCAAATCTAACTTCTTCATGTTTCGGTTCTTTCACCTCAAATATATATTTGGGCATTTCTTAGTCCTTTTCTTGTTATGGAAACGAGCAGCTATCAGAACATGTATTATAATAAGTCTTTCTTTGTCCTAGGTATTTGGGCCTAGATTAGGTATGCCAACACTAATCGCCTGTTAAACCATGGGCAATTGGCGTTCTTCTTGACACTTCTATTCATGATAGTAAATTTACGGGAGTATTTGAAGTTTAAGTTTCTATGACTGCCATGTTAAATCCAAAAGGAAACTTTAACATTCTACACAACTCCTTCATGGTCATTCCAAGTTGTTCATATCAAAATCAAAATGAATTGATTATATGTACATGTCAGCTAGTCGATTAATCCTAGTCAACTCCTAACTCAAGGAAATTCTATTTTACTTCAATATGTCATTTTACAACGTACATTTGACAATTGATCTTTCTAACACTTTAGAATGCAATGTTTGAAGTAACCAAGGAATAGCTTTAACAAAGGCATGATCTTTCCTTTCGTTTATGAGAACTACTCCCAAACTACGAATTTGACAAGATTGATCATCCTCAAAGCTAATCCTTTCAAAGGTTTTATAGCAGTAGATTTTAGTGGATAAGGTTATAGACATCATTCAATAACAAGTTCCATTATAGTTTGTTTTACTTATACTTAGAAAATAATCACCCTAAATAAAATTATTTTAAAAGGCTAGGATCCATATTTTGCTCCATGATGTGTAAAGGGATGTCGTAAACACAATAAAGTTATTTAGGTAGGCAAAGCCCTTTGCCAATTTCGATCACCACGAAATTCCTAAATCTTTGAGATTCATTAACTATCAGTGGCATGTTAATCTCGAATTATGTTCATCTCAAATTCAATGACGGGGTCGCCGCGGATCATTGAACATATGGTGAATCGACCATACAAAACCGCATGGTCCCCGGCTCAAGTTACGCTTGAGATTCGCGAGTTCCACATCATTCTCTACTTATACTCTCCAATTGACGTGTCGGTTAACGACGCGAGCTCCATCAACAAGTTATAAAGAGAATGTGCAACTTTTATGGATAACATAAGATTCACATTAAATAGATTGAGAATTAACCTTGCAAAATCGCATGGTCCCCGACTCTTGCGAGTTCCATATCATTCTCAACTATACCCTAGATTGATGTGTCGGTTAACCACACGAGCTCCACCAACAAAATATAAAGAGAATGTGCAATTTTCATGGATAATATAAACTCACATTCTATTAATAAACTGGGATTTTGTTTTATACTTGTATTTAAAATACTTTTAGATTAACCTTATCACTATCAAACCCTTTCGGTAACTCCATTCACAAAATGCAATTGGGCGGTGAGGGTGGTAAGCGCGAAGCATATTCAAAACCGACCTCATTAGGAATCAAAGAGACCTCCTTAAACCCCTAGATTAGAACGGGTGAGCCTAGTCGAGGTAAGACAGACAATGTCAACATTTAAACACGCGAGGGCGCATGTTGTAACTTTCTTATACATATAATAAACACAATTCTAATATATATATAAATATAAGGGGTAAATTTAAAACTCTTTAAATTTAGTTGTCTATTATTAATTTTAATTAATTGCGAGGACGCAATGTAACAATTAATAAATCATAAGGGGGTAATATTCAAATTTATAAATCTTTTTTATAAATAATATTAAATATTTGAAATCACTATTTAAATAATAAATATTCAAATTTAAAATAAGATTAAATAATATTTATCCATAAATATTCAAATTTAAATAAACACATTTAAATAATATATATTAATCATCAAATAAATATTCAAATTTAAATAAACACATTTAAATAATACTTATCCATTATTTTCCAGATTTAAACAATTTAAATTAGGTATTTATCCATATTTAATAAGCCTTCATATTTGAAAAATGGCAAAAAAATGAAAACCCTAATCCAGCCGAGCCCGCGTCGTCAGCTCATAGCTCTCACGTCGTGAGCTGCGACTAGGGTTTTAACCATTACGAATTTTTCAATTAATCTTCTATCATTCAATTTCAAACAAGTTTTTACAGAAAAACATGGATCTAGGGTGAAAGTAACCATTAACCAATGGCTCTGATATCACTGTTGGGTTTTCTATGCATCAAATATACTCTAAAACTAGGTAGCGGAAAAATCGAAACAACGATATACCTAAGTGTACATGCATCCTATGGATCTATGGCTTCATGATAATTACATCAACCCTAGAAAACTAAAACATAAGTAAGAAAACATACCTCTTATGTAGCCCTTGATCTCCATGGTTGAGATCTTGAACCTTCATGAAGTTTATTGGATGAAAGGACCCAAACCAGAATCCCTCTAATGCTATCACACCCAATGACACCAAAGAGTGGAATAAAATAACTAGGAGAAGGGTCAATTTCACAAACCCAAAGGGGTTAGAAATCATCCCTAAAAGGGGGAGGAAGAAGGGTTGGTGAATACTTCAAGCCAAGGTGCAAGGAGGAATGAAATGCCTAAGGCCCTATTTATAGCCTTGGATGCCTCCTAGGGTTTAGTACTCCTTCCCATGTGGGATGGAGTCATAACCACGAAATTTCACTCCTTTCCCATGTGGGATGGAGTGATTTTCATCCAACCCTAATTCCAGAAGGTTCTGGAACATTCCTGATTAACCAACTATCGATTAATGAACATTCAACCCTTTAATTAATTAAACTATTAATTAATTCCCAATATATATTTCCAAATAGTTTCTAATTAATTATTAGCCATAATAATTAATAAACCAATTTCTCCTTTATTTATTCTACTCAATTTAGGTCTTGAGGGCAACCCAAAAGGACTCTGCTATTATTAGAAATATGACCAATAGTTAATGACCTTGGACACTATTCCAAGAGTATGAACTAAGGAGTTATGGAAGGAATCGGTTTTCAAACACGCTTTTCATAAGAAAATATAGGATTTTCTTGAGGAACACTTTTCAAATGGATCAAAGAAACATTTCCACCAAAACTGAATGGTTATGAACTCACCAGCTTTATGCTGATATTCTTTCAAACTACTTGTATTCTTAGGAAATTAGTAAGCAGGTACTTCCAGGAGATTGGAGAAGTCGGAGCGTTAGAGTCACGTCTTTCTATTTTACTTTGGATATGAACAAAACTATGTACTAAGATAATATAAACCTTATTCATATATGTATTCAATGTTTGGTTGTGTTTACTATGCTTGCTATGATACAATTGTTCATGAGATACTACGCATGTCATCCTCTGCCCCAGAACATTTCTGTCGTTCTGGTTTTGGGGTGTGACAGAATGGTATCAAAGCTCTTGTTTATAGTGAACTAAGTACACCGAACCTTACATCACTACTAGAAAAACAGCATTTTACGACGTGCAATGCGTGTCGTAAAACGCTCAGCCGACGTGCAAATGCGTGTCAAGAAAGGCCCTGTCATAACGAGAGATGACACGCTTTTGTGTGTTGTCTATTTACGACGCACAATTACGACCCGCATTTACGACGCGCGTTTATGACACTCATTGCGTATCAAGGAAGGCCCTATCATAAAGGAAGATGACACACATTTGCGTGTCGTAACCTTATGACGCACATTTACGACTCGCATTGTGTATCATTGAAGCCCTGTCAAGAAAGGTCTTGTCATAAATGAAGATGACACACATTTTTGCGTATCATAATTTTAAATGTTTAAAAAAAAATATTATTTATAGATTTATTAGTTTTCAAATAAATTTTTATTTAATGTCTCATAATAGTAAATAAAATATCATATAAAAAATACAATCCATTGCATAAAATTTAATGTCATACAAATAATAATTCCATGGAAAGATAAAACAAATCAATAGAAGTTGTAACAAAAATTTACAAACTGATTAGATTCAAGAAATATAAAAAAATATATACCCTCAAATGCTTTTCAAACTCTAATCTCCATGTCAGCTCGTTAACTCACTTCTCCAGTTTGTCCTTAGCTTCTCTAAGGGCTCCAGCATCTCTTGCAGCCCGTGACAACATTCTTAGTTCTTTCCCAAGTGACACCTTTTTCCTGTCTGTTAATTCCCCTATGCTTGTGTTGAGTAAAAATTTCAAAATATGTCAATCCCCAAGTGCACACAACAACTAAGGTATCTGTAATTAAACATTAAAAACTTTTTACAAATTTGCCCTCATATATGAAGATAAAGATGAAGATAAGATGAGAATCATACCCCTTCAAAGGCCTAAAGAAGAACAGAACGTGGTATTATTTCGCCACCTAGATGTTCTTCAGTGATGAGATTTAAATCGGGTAGTGAAAATATCTTGACACTAATACAATCCGCATCCTAACTGTAGCAATATTACTATAATTTGGATTTTCACCAATGGGGTTTATGTCAAGACATGAGATATCATATTTCAGTTCTGCATGCATTTTTTCTACTAAAACACCGTCACCAGTTTCAAGGTAAACCAGATGGCCACCTCTAGTAGCCAATAGCACTTGTTATGGAAATTAAAAAGGTTAGTCAAACGTATTTATTAAAAGACCAAAATACCCTTGGTTATACCTTAGTAGCGTTAAAAGTGGCAACATTTATAGAGTAGTCATTGGGTGCATGCCATTCGTTTCGTAGCTCTCCTGAACTTGAACTCACCAGTCCCATAACAACAATATTGTTAACAGGACTTGCCAAGTGCCAACACAACAAATAAATATTTTTTTTGTAATTAAAAGAAAAGTAGCAAAAATAATATTTAAAAAACTTTACCTTTTTCAGGGACTTATCTGCCAAAACCTTGTTGTAACAGATGAATTATATAGTTAGGATTCAAACTCACCTCTACAACTAAATCCACATGTTTGAAGCTATCAGAACTGAGTACACCTTTCAACAGAGATACAATTCTTTCAAGCTTCTCCTTGGTCATTTTCCCTGCCATAAGAAGGTTGTGAAAATTAGCTGAAGATGTAGATAACCAAGTAAGAGTTGTGAGTTGTGACCATACTTTTTAAGCTCATATCATGACTCACCTTTGATTTCACCGAGTGTAGCCTCCAGAGAATTCTCATCATCCTCCTTAAATATTACATGAATGTTAGCAAGGATAAACGTTGTTGCTATTGCTATTGACCCCGGACCAATAACACCAACTCTATTTACTTTCCTTGGCTGCAACCCCATATCAGTTATACCTGAAATCTGTAATTGCTTTTAACAAGTCATGATCTCATCAACATTAATTGTTAGTATAAGAAAGGTGTCCAGACCAAACTCCAAACCTTGGAAGTGTTATATAAAGCAAAGAATATGTGGACCAAACTTTTACAAGTTTCAGTTTGCCGGAGTTCATTCAAGGCCTCTACTTCCTGTAACCAGAACTTTTTCAGCATCCATCCATCCATCACATTCAAAACAATAGAAGAAATGAGTGCAAATTAATGACATCGATGCAAATTAATGGATGACTCATATTTGGGTTCTGTTTTTGTGGCCAAAGTCTGAAAAAAAAAAGTTTTGAAGCCAAAGTTTAAAGTCATTTGTGGCCAAAGTCTAAAATAACAAACTTTTGTGGCCAAAGTGTAAAACCCTAAAACTATACTTCATGGCCAAACTTTAAAATAAAAATCTTTTGTGGCCAAAGTTTAAAACCATACAACTATAATATTCATAAGCTCTTTTTTTAATATATATATATATATATATATATATATATATATATATAAATTCGACCTTAATAACAAAAGTATAAAACCATTATACATTATATTGTTATGATTTCCAAAAGGAAAACCATTTTTCCTAGTTACCATGTTTCAAAAGGCTAAAATACATAAAAGCACAATGTAGTTTCTGCATTTTACCAATTTACCCTTTTGAATTATTATTATTTTTCCTATAAACAGCAAGTAAACTGTAACACCGTAAATTTCAAAACGAAATTTTCAAATTTTATAAAACTAATTCACTTAATATTCATAAAACAACCATATTTGAGCATTCAATCCAAGTAATACAAAAATCCCAAGATCTCAAAATCATAAATCCCATGTGTGTGTACTGATCAAGCCGGCGCCTTCCCACGGTCGTCACTAGTACCTGAAACAAATAACACCAAACACTGTAAGCACAAAGCTTAGTGAGTTCCCCAAAATACCACATATAACACATATTAGCCACTCGAGGCTATAACTCTGTGGGTCCGTGCACCCAAACTCTGTGAACCCTCAGGTTCTAACTCTGTAAACATGCACAACATAAATCACAAAGAATAATGCAGCGCAACACATAACATTAAATATAGCATACAAGCACTGTATCACATAACTCTATTTACCTACTCAAGGTAAAGTATAGTGAGAAGACTCACCTCGCGTATCTCGGTAATTCGTAAATCCCTGAAATCACTAGTGCTCGATCTCCCGAGCTATAGTCCTCCTATAACACAATACATCTCTAATTAACACTTTCCCAACTAAGGTTGACTATCCCTTAACAAGTCAACATAGGTCAACACTGGTCAATGGTCAACGGTCAACTTTGACCGGACTCGGCGAGTGCACTATAGCGACTCGGCGAGTCTATACGCATACACTGATTTCCCTGGGATCCTCACTTGACACGACGAGTATTCTCCTAACTCGACGAGTTCCACCTGGCATGAGTTGTGGGGCCTCCACGACTCAACTCGCCGAGTCTCAAGAACAACTCGGCGAGTCCCAGCTTGACTCAGTCCACCTGTCAACCCACTCTGACTCTCCCTGACTCACTGAGTCAATCCCTCAACTCGGCAAGACCACTCGCTGAGTGGTGCTGGGCAATCTTCATGCTACTCGCCGAGTCTGTTCTTCGGACTCGGCGAGTCCATGCCATGCAACGACTCAAACTCACTCCTGAGGTCAGATCTGTTCCACTAACTCATAGATCCAGTCCTTCCAAGCTTATTTATCACGTAAAGTCGCTATCTTGATGTACATACAACATCTATATGACCATATATGATGATTTAGCCCCAAATACCACAACTCAAGGTCATAACCTCCATTGCTCTTCATAAAGCTTGATGAGTGAGGCTCTCTGGACCTCTATGGATCCAGATCCAAAGCCTCATCACTAGAAAGGGACTATTTGGGCATCAAATCAACCCAACAAAGGCCAAGAAACCCTAAATCCAAATATACTTCATAAAACAGAAGATGAGCTGAAATAATACCTCAAGTGCGATGATCTAAGCTTCAAATCCACAGTATAGCAACCTCCTTTGCTTCCTCTTGGTTAGGACCTCCTTCTTCTTGCTAAACAACACCACAAAGGTCAAGAATGGCTTCCTTTCTCTCTCAAAACGCTCAAGCACTCTAGGGTTTCTCTCTATGGATTGGTGAGCACAAATGACGGCCATAAGGCCCTTTAAATAGGTCTCAAACCCTGGGAATTAGGGTTTCATTACACAGCATGGACTCGCCGAGTCCACTCTTGGACTCGCCGAGTCCAGACGCGAACCCGCGTCCAAAATCGCGATCCTACTCGGCGAGTTTGAGCTCCAACTCGCCGAGTCCACTCACAATTCTCCAAAAATATACAATAATAAATACTGGAAATTCCGGGTTGTTACAATTCTCCCCCACTAGAACTAGACTTCGCCCTCGAAGTCTCGCTCTGCAAATAACTCCGGATTGCTCGCGCATCTCACGCTCCGGTTCCCAAGTCATCTCGGACCCCTTCCGATGTTGCCACTGAACCAAAACCAAAGGTACCTCCTTGTTCCTCAGAACTTTGATTTTCCGATCTCTGATTGCCACTGGTCTCTCAGCATAATTCAGGCTGCATCCACCTGAATATCCTCTAATGGAACCACTGCCGACTCATCGGCTATACACTTCCATAATTGCGACACATGGAAAGTGTCGTGAATCTACCCCAACTCTGCTGGCAAATCCAAACGATAGGCTACCCTGCCTACCCTCGCGACTACCCGAAATGGTCCGATATATCGGGGCCCCAACTTGCCCCTCTTCCTGAATCGGATCACTCCTTTCCAAGGAGAGACCTTCAGGAGCACAAAGTCGCCGACCTGGAACTCAAGTTCGGACCGGCGTCTGACCTGCTGGATCTGCTCTGTCATATGAAGTACGATCTCAGTGTTGCCCATAACGCACTGTCCGACTTCTCCCCAGCGAATGGGGGTCCGACACCTCCTCCCATACAACAGCTCAAAGGGCGGCATTGATGCTCGAATGATGGCTGTTGTTGTAAGAAAACTCAGAAAAGGGAAAATACGTATCCCAACTTCCCCTGATATCCAATACACATGCTCGGAGCATGTCCTCGAGCATCTGAATCGTCCGCTCACTCTGTCCGTCTGTCTGGGGTGATATGCGGTACTAAAATGCAGCCTAGTACCCAGCTCCTCATGAAACTTCTTCCAGAATCTGGAAGTGAAACGTACATCCCGGTCTGAGACAATAGAGATCAGCACCCCATGCCGAGATACCACTTCCCTCACATACATCTCTGCTAACTTCTCTGCGGAAGAACTCTCGCTGATAGCAAGGAAGTGAGCGCCCTTCGTCAACCTGTCCACAATCACCCAAATTAAATCAACTCCCCGAGCAGTCCTTGGTAATTTGGTGATGAAATCCATGGTGATCTGTTCCTACTTCCATTCAGGAACCTCCAACGGCTGCAACTTACCATGCGGTCTCTGGTGTTCGGCCTTAACCCTACGGCAGGTTAAGCACCTCTCAACAAACCACGCAACATCCCTCTTCATACAGAGCCACCAATACTCCCTCCTCAAATCCAAATACATCTTAGTGGCCCCAGGATGGATCGAGAATTTCGACCGATGAGCCTCATCCATCAAAATGGTACGTGTTCCTCCCACAAACGGTACCCAAATACGCCCCTGAAAAGTCATAAGCCCCTGACCATCGGTAACGAACTTCGATACCAACCCAACAACTCTCTCTCTTTTGGTTTTCCAACCTCACTGCCTTAGCCTGTGCTCCTCGAATGGTGTCCAACACCGGAGTCATCACGGTCAATCGCAAACATACATCTCGCAACGGGGAGCTCTCTGCCCTGCGACTCAGGGCGTCGGCTACCACATTAGCCTTGCCCGGATGGTACAGGATCTCACAATCGTAATCCTTAACAACATCCAATCACCTCCTCTGCCGCATATTTAGGTTGGGCTGATCCATTAAATACTTCAGACTCTTATGGTCCATGTATATCGTACACCGAACCCCATACAAATAGTGGCGCCAAATCTTGAGGGCGAATACCACTGCCCCCAACTCTAGGTCATGGGTGGGATACCTCGTCTCATGAGGCTTCAACTGCCTCGATGCATATGCTATCACATGCCCTCTCTGCATCAGCACCGCTCCCAATCCCAAGATCGATGCATCACAGTATACAACAAAGTCCTCCATTCCCTCCGGGAGGGCTAACACCGGGGCCTCGCATAACCTTTGGCGAAGCGTCTCAAAGGAGGCCTGCTGCTCGGGCCCCATGAAAAAGCGACACCCTTCCGGGTCAACCTAGTGAGTGGCACTGCGATCTTAGAGAAATCCCTGATAAATCTCCGATAATAACCAGCCAGCCCTAGAAAACTCCTGATCTCGGAGGGTGACCTCGGCACCTCCCAACTCATCACCGCCTCAACTTTGGCCGGATCGACCAATATCCCTTCCTGGTTAACAAGATGTCCTAGGAACTGAACCTCTCGCAACCAGAAATCACACTTGGAGAATTTGGCATAAAGCCTCTCTGATCTCAGAACTCCGAGGATCTCCCTCAAATGCTCCTCATGCTGCTCTCTAGATCTCGAATATACCAAAATGTCATCAATGAATACAATCACCGACCGATCCAACATCGGCCTGCACACCCAGTTCACGAGATCCATGAATACTGCCGGGGCATTGGTGAGTCTGAAAGGCATCACCACAAACTCATAATGCCCATAACGCGTCCTAAACGCTGTCTTCTGGACGTCCTCATCTCGCACCCTCACCTGATGGTATCCAGACATCCAATCGATCTTGGAGAACCAAGATGCTCCCTGCAACTGGTCGAACAAATCGTCGATCCTCGGTAACGGGTAACGGTTCTTGACCGTCAGCTTTTTCAACTCCCAGTAATCAATGCACATCGTGAACCATCCTTCTTCTTGACAAACAGAATAGGCGCTCCCCACGGCGAGCTGCTCGGCCGAATAAACCCTTTCTCCAGCAGCCCCTGAAGCTGCGAGGATAACTCTTGCATCTCTGGAGGTGCAAGATGATAAGGCACCTTAGCGATAGGCGCGGCCCCCAGGACCAAATCAATATCGAACTCTACTTGCCTCACGGGAGGCACACCCGACAACTCCTCTGGAAAGACATCC